AAGGCAGTAACAATGATGGATGGTTATAGAATATAGATATATAACAAAGTAACGAATTAGTTGAAGCACATATTATTAAATATAGTAAATTGGATGGGATATGATAGAAAATTACCAGCCTCGTTTAATTTTTCAAAGGTAAAGCCATTAATGTGGCTGCTTTTTCTTATAAAAGGATGAGAAGTCCAAAAGTTATACATAAGTCTATAATGATATTGATTTTTTTCTTTTTCTCCTTTTCTTAATATTTACTTAAGAGTTAATGACTTTTTTGCACCCAAATAATTGTTTAATGACACTTTTTCACTCACAAACTTTTAAAATATTATTTTATTACCCAAATTTATATTTCGACAACAAACAAAGAGCAAACTCGACCTAGACTATTGGAGCTTTTGAAGAAGGGAGGTCGATGAGTCTTTTGGTGGTAGAAGGTTGGATTTTGGTCATTAGAATTGATCAGAATTTGGCTTGAGAGGAGTGGCTGCATAAACTCTAATTGCTCGATTGTCGACAATTGGCAAGGTCGGCAAGAGTAGGATTTAAGGGATTTTGGTGAGTGATGATCGAGAAAGAGAATAGTAGTGATGTGGGGTCACAACGATACCGAAATTATAAACAAAATATAAATTTAGGTAAAAAATGGTATTTTAAAAGTGTGTAGAGGGAAAATAACCATTAAACCATTGTGTGGGTGAAAAAAAATCCTTTGCTCTATTTACTTATTATATGAGTCGAGATGATTTATATAGTCAAAAGAGCCATAATTTGTCCATTTTGTCAATTATTAAGAGTTAAGGAAATACAATGGACATTCAACTATCTCTAATTGCTAGTTGGAAGAGCCTATAACCCTCCCCTCAATTCAACACTGGTTAATTCAGAGTAGGTGACAGAATGACTTGTTCATCTGAAAATGTCAAATAACATGGAAACATTTTTCTATTTTTCTTAAAACCTTTATGCAACCATTATGATTTTTAAATATAATTACTTTATTATTTTTATATTTTATGCTTATGTGAAATGAGTGTTTTTCTGATGGTTGTATACGAAATAAATGCAAAAATTATTGAAGTGAACAACGGCTAATCAGGATCACTTATTTGACTTTTCAGAAACTCAACAAACAATTAATTAAGAGATGAATATTGAGACATTTATCAGAGAAAAAGGGCCTCTTTTGGTGTTGAGAAGATCCCATTCTGAATTTGATCTCTTAGATCATCAACGTATAATGGCTAGTTTCATTAAAACTTCAAATTTTGAGGGTTAATTTAGGTCATCAACCAAATAAAACTATAAAAGAAATCAACCTCCCTGTGATCAAGTGGTTTAATATGAATTTTTATATGTATTACTCAAGAGGTCTTGATTTTGAGTTTCTCATCGATTGTTAATAAGCGTGGCTATTAAAGCTTTTATCTAATCAATAGTTATAGTCTTGAAAGATTAATTGAAATACATGTAAATTGGTCTAAACACTTCTATCATTAAAAAAAAAAAAAAAAAAAAAGTTAAATTTACAAATATTTTCGTGTTAAAAGAATCGTAGGCCAAATTTCTATAAGTGATATATTTAGATAGTAAGTCAACGATAGCCACCCTCATATAGTCATATCTGCTGATTGAATCAAGAGCAGTGTCGTTCCACTGTAAGAGTAATGGATTAATTATGTTTTATATACATCTCTATAGCGTTTTAGAGGGGATGAAACAAGTTATTAATCAGAAGATGAAAACACACCCAATGGTTGTGGGGACAAAAGCATCAGACCGAAATCACGAGATAAAAAAAGCTAAGAGAAAAAAAAAAAGTTGCGTCATAGCCTACGTCCTGGTCCCTCAAATCTCAATCAAAGACTCATAGCAGTCACATTTACTTGTGTGGAAAAAAAATATAAAATGAAAACGATATAATCCAACGCTAGCTATACAATCATAATTAGGATATTTATAGGAAACCACCTATATGTTTTGCTATTGGTTGACCCTTTATTGGTATCGAAAATGGGACCGTAACCCTTGTTTAATTCAAAACCCTTAACATAGATATCCTAAAACTTCTTTACCCTTCTAACTCTAAACACCAAAATAAGGGAGAGAATAAAAAACTTAAAAAGGTATTTAGATTATATAATATTTTATTATAGATATTATATTAATGAAAAGATAAATCACTTTAAAAATTACTGAGAATATTTAGAAAATGTCTTTAGTTGGTTCGAATAAATTGGTGAATAATATGTTTAGTTGGGAGGATAAATAGGTGAGTATGTTATATAGATTTCTAAATTATCCTCCTTTTTAAATATTAATATAATATTATTTATTATTAAAAAAATTTGAATCATTTTTTAACCCCTTATATTTGAAATTTTGCTAAAACACCTCAGTCATATAAAACTTTAATTTATAGCAAATTCACTCCCACCCACCCCAAGCCACTATCAGCAGCCAACTACCGCCGCTGCCCACCATCAACAGTCAACGAAATGGCGCACGACTGGCCATTAATGGTTGCCGGCAAAGCCACTTCTATGGTCATTTCACTGCCAAAGATGTGGCCGTGAAACAGCCAGATCTAGTCGTTTCCGACCATAAATCTATGATCCATAGCCTAAAACGGCCTAACCGAGGACACAATCGGTCAGATCCCGCCAATCTTGCACCATTACGGTGCCCGACAGTGGTAAGTAACCGCCAGTAGTGATCTTGGGTGGCTGGGGGTATTTTATTGACTTTTAAATTTTTTTGTGGCTATGCCCCTGATCCAAACGCACCCTTAAGGTTTTCTTAGAACGTTGAAAAGTCTAAAATATCCTTCTTAAAACTTGAAAATATCAATTATACTTTAATATTAATTAAGATTAATGGAATGAAGGTTAGGATCTCATTTCCGATACGAGAAGGGGGTCAACTAATAGGCAAAACATACTAGGGTTTTCATAAATAACTCATTAAAATGTCATTCACATTATTATTCATACTCCTATTATTGAAGCTTAGCATTTGAAACAAAATTAATTATATAGATCTAAGAGTTTTTGTTGTATATATAGTTGATATATATTAATCTGGTTAAATTTTACTCTCTCAATTCTTTATGTTCAAAATCCTATAGCGAAGTTGATGTGATCCCTGTTTATAGTCTTTTTTTTTTCCTAGTCGGATCCCTCATCATAATATTAAAGTTCATATTGGCCTAAGTATAGATGACATGCAGCAAGGCCAGCCCGCAAATCGATTTTAGTTTTTCTATCATAACCAATTAAAAATAATACACAAGTCAATTTATTAATTTTATAGCCGTGCAATAATCAATTTTGTTTCACAATTATATAACTAAAATTATTACCTTAACCTTGTGGCGTTATTATAGAAGCAAAACGTTACTTATAATGTATAGAATTTATAGTTCAACTATCTCTACGTGGTTGAGCGGTTCGATGGGGATTCTTAGGTATATTATTAAAAAGGTTCTGAGTTCGAGTTCCTCATAGGTTGCTAATAGGGTTAGCAGTTAGAATTCTTACTATGTGGATAATTCCAGGATCCCGATAGAAACTATATTCAAACTAAATAGCCACCATCTTGATTTAATTCCATCAAATCTTATTGAAATTCCTAGTGGTAGACTCTTTAAAGCTGATTTGTCTTAATTTTTACTAACCTAAACAAAGATTTTGCAGTTTGCACACAAGAGTAGTGCCGAATGTGGCAGTTTATGTAGGACCAATAGGGTTGAGTTGTTCTGCAATTTGAAGTATTACAATTTTGCTTGTTAAATTAGGGGATGGGCATTAGATTGTATAAAAGACCAATCTCTAAATTTTATATAAACAAACACATGATACAACTTACTTTAATAATTTTTTGTATAGTGTTATGTGATTGATAAAATCATAAATTAAAATAAGAGATAAAATAGAGTTATTTCGAGAGAATTTAAGATTTTCTTTTAAAAAAAAAAAATATCGACTTTTTCTTTAATAATTGATTGACCTTTCTTTTATTTTCAAAACAAATATTTATGATGATACAAGTCAATTACTAAAGATAAATACAAATATAATTTAATAAAACTTATCAATATGCTAATCTAAAATATAGCATGTAATTTATTTATGAAATTTACATAAATAACATAATATATATATATATACATTGAGGGAGACCGGGGCATTGGAGAGGAGCAAACAAACCATTTTAATAAAGAAATAATATAGAAAGAGGAAAGAGACAGTCTGCCTTCCTCCCTTGACTCTTTTCAAACTGTGGCGAGCGAGGACTTTGACCCATTACTTTTCTTCTTCTTTCTACCATCTCCCTGTGCCAGTGGCTGGCCGCTCCGTATACTTTTCAAGTTTTTCTTTAATCTCTCTCTCTTACTACTTTTCAAGCTCCCATTTACAAATAATTCCCTCAAACTCCCAAGTGGGTTCTTCTTCCTCTCTTCTGGCAACCTTCAGATTATTCTTTTATATCATAAAATTAAATTAAGTACTGGCGTTCTCCTCCATTCTCCTACTATGCTATATATTTAATTTTCGGCGCATCTATCTCTCACAATTTCAACAAGACTTTTCTAGACTTTCTCGGGGTCTGATCATCATCATCATAATCATGTCTTCTTCATCAGCTAAAAGATTATTTAAATTAGTTAGCCTGCTAAAGAGATGATGATCCAGAAGGAAAAGGATCTAGCAGTGGTGCAGATGGTTAGGTTAGTTAACTAGTTAGCCAACTGCTAACTGCACGTGATCCATGGACACTGATTTCCTTCTTGACGATGTAGCACGCGCAAACTTTCTCCGATCAGTAATGCAGTCCTTTGGCTGCACTTATATTTGCTTATGGTCATATTATGAATTACCCAAGTATATATCAACTCTCCCTCTTACTTTTTTTCCATTTTTTATGACAATATATCGATTCAGCTGACCGTCTTTCGATTCTTAATCACCAGCTGTTTGATCTTCTGGGATGGATGTTACCAGGAAGACAACAGCCAACCTAGTCCGTCGTCCGGAACGATATCTCGGAGGCTTTTCGATGAGTACCGTAAATCAGTTATCGGCGTTGTTGAATCTGAGTAAGCATATATATAGAAATTTATTAAATTATGTTAGATACATATAATTTTTCTATAGATCGATATTAATTATAACATAAACTGTATTGTAAAGGGGTGCCTTCTTGTTTCACTGTAGCAGCCGTGTTCCAGGTCTGGCTTTCAAGAACAGTCAGCATTACATTGAGCTGAATGAATCCGACCTTCAGAGATTGGCATCCAATGATGCACAGCGCCTATTTTATCGGGTAATGATTTAATATACTAGCGCAAGAGTTGAACGTTAACTACATTTCTGCTAAATTTTGTAGAATACATTTGTTATGGCTAATTTATTGTCATTGTTTCTATTTCACAGGAAGCAAGGATTAAGGTTTGACAACTTTATTTATAAAGAAATATTCTTGCACGTATTCTGATCGCTTTACATATAATGAATACAAAGCAAAAAGATAACAATTTTCTTTTTTCATTCAATATTTCCAGACTGCAGTATTCATGGCGTGCAAGAGCGGAGAAATTGAGCTAGGCTTGTCCAGTATGACACAAGTAAGAATCCATTTTAATTGCCATTTCATTCTTTAATTTCGGGAAACATGATATTCTTAATTAATAAATTCTTAAAGCTGAATTTGGTTTAATCTCATTTCTAAAATCAGATTAACATGGAAACGGAGATGAGCAATTGGTTCCCGAAGGACTTAGTCCCTCGACAATCGGCAGCACAAGAGATTCGAGGACAAGTGCCTGATCCCAATCGACCTTCATCATCTTCATCCTCATTAAGATCTGTATCCATGGATAGCCCAGAATACTCCTCTCTTATATTCAACATTCCAACCACATCCCAAATACCAGATACCCTCAACGAGGTTCCTTCATTGCATCCAATATTACCAACCACAATTAGTCCACACCACCAAGTCATGCAAGCATTTGCTCAAATGCGAAACATTCAATTACCAACGCCCGAGAGTGAGCATGCTGCAATGACAAGAGCCATTTTTGCTGTTTTAACTTCCCCTACTTCTTCTTCATCATCATCTCAGCAACATCAACATCAAAATCAACCCCAGCGGCCAAATCTACCTCTCAATTACCGAGTAAACCCGCAACCGAGCGCGTTCAAGAAGTATAATTCAGCTTTAGCTCCAGCATCTCAAATGGCAAAGCGGACGCAAAGTATGCTGAAACGAGCGATTTCATATTATAGGAGGCTTAATAATGCGAGACGTGAACATGCGTTACAAAACCGCCCCACCAACACTCAATTGCACCATATGATATCAGAGCGAAAAAGGCGCGAGAAGCTCAATGAAAGCTTCCAGGCGCTCAGATCACTACTTCCACCTGGAACAAAGGTATGAAATATTTTCTTTAAGTAGCTTAATCTTCATCCAGGATATGCTTTTAACTTAACTATAGCTTAATTAACGCATTTTCAAGAGATATATGTTTATATTATTAAGTGTAATGTATAAATAATGGACTTTGTAGAAAGACAAAGCATCATTGCTTATTAAAACAAGAGAGTATTTGAGCACATTGAAAGATAAAGTGGCAGAACTTCGTGAAAGAAACCAGAAATTGGAGGCCCAAATTTTTCCGGCTCCGGCTCCTGCTGCCGTAGCCAAAGAAGTGGGTGCTGAAGAAGCAAGAGGTTCTCCGAATCAAAGACCTCAGATACTTGTTATTCCTGTACCTGAATCAACCTCGGAAGAGAGAATTGTCGACTTGAGAGTGAGTGTAACAGCAGAATGTTCTATGGTGGATTTAATAATCCGCATACTGGAATTATTGAAACGAGTTAACGATGTGAGCTTGGTGTCCATGGAAGCCAGTACCAGGACAGCGGAATCAAGTTCTTCTAATCATGTAATCTTCAGATTGAGAATTCAGGTATGTATTATGAAATATGTAATGCATATTCTTTATCACAACGATGTTAAACTTTCATTTTTATTAAAGAAACAAATCATACTAGGATTTGTCTAGCACCTTTATAGAGAAAACACAAAAATCAACATCTTTTTGGGGTGAATTAATCGGCCAATGCTGAAAATACCTTCAATAAGAAAGCTTTGTAGAAAAAACACTATAAAGGATATATATATATATATATATTAATTAGTTCTTTAAAAACAACTCCTAAATCTTTTTCTTCTCTACAAAAAAAACTTTTTAAACAGTATTTTTTAATGTAGAGTATATATACAAAAAATATTTTTAATTCAAACCAAAAAAAGGGAGACTTTCGGATTGTCCGTACAGATTCTTAGTTCATGCATGTTTGGTGGCAAGAAACAAGATGAAGTTGATAAGGATTAAAAAATCCCCCTAAATTCTTGTATTTATCTGTAGATAAAACTCCGTCTAGGATCTAGGATGCATGAATGGAATAGAAAAATGAAAATCTTCTGTATCGTTAATTATTAAACAAGGCAAAACGAAGGCTAATTAAATATACAAAACAATGAATGTAGTTTTTCTAATTCTTGTATAAAAATAGATTGCAGATGTTGATATAGGTAAATTAAAGTTATGAAATTGCTGAGTGCAGGGAAACGAATGGGACGAATCAGCTTTCCAGGAAGCAGTAAGAAGAGTTGTTTCTGAGATGGCACATTCACAATGACAATGACAATGACAATGGACAAGTGAACCTTCTTTTACCGCAAACTAGTCAACTGATTTTGGCGGGCGGAGATGATCCACTATTGTAGACATGAAGTTTATCTCCACCACCACATCACGTAATTTATATATCTATCTATGTACCATGTTTGCTCATTTTTTATAGCCATTCATGTATAAGAATTTCATTATTAATTAATATTCATGCCTCCATTTAAATATTAACGAAATTACGTGTCGCGCGCCGAAATTGACTTCAACTGTTAATTTACTTTAAATGGGAAGATCTAACACTAGATTCATTGATTGATTATTTGATTATAGATTGTATTAGTATTCAAAGTTGGTCCAACGTCAAGAATGCACTTTTTATTCAAGAATATAAGATCACCCCACCAAACCCAATGTCTTTTTCATGGTTTAATTCATTTCATATTAATTAATCCATGGGCGATGTGTCTCCAAAACAATGGCCACCCCCTCACATCAGATTCTGTATATCCTTCGTTGATCATTTTTTTCCTCCGAAGGAAAATCAAAAAGGCCCTTCAGGCGGCGGTTTTGACTGATATTTTCTCTGTTGAAGAATCCGAAGACTATGCTTTTGTTTTGGTTGTTATATATATATATTTGTGAGTAACAAACACACATGTATCACTTAAATAAATACAATCTATTAATTAATTTGACAACCCAATTTGGAAGATTGACCATTTTTATTTCATGTTATTTTAATCTGTGTTAGATTAAATAATGCCTTGTTGTTATGTAAACATAGAATCTCTAACTTGATTGAAAAAAGAAACATGTTTATAGGGCTATTATTTTACAAGCAAAATTGTTAAAATAATTGAGAAAAATATCTGATCAATGAATCACAAATCATTACCTACTTTTAAGTCAAATTATCAAAGCTTAATAGGGGTTTATATACTTTACATGCTTGCTTGCTTCTACAAATGTAACAACCTTTAACAACCATAAGCACGAATTTAATATAACTCAATTGTCTTATTAACAATAATATATTCATATATTTTTTTTTTTTTTTTTGTAGAGGGGTAGCTAAAGTGTCTAGATCAGTTTGTTCATACCTCAACTAATTCTCAAGATTCATTGAACACCCTATAAATTTGAATGATCAAATAAATCATAATATTATTATGATAAATGACCTCAAGATTTGAATTGAAGAACTCAATAAAATGAGCAAGTATCTTGACCATCAGAACAACCATTTTGGGTTAATATATCCATACAATTGTTTAATGGCAGCTTGGAGTTTTAACCATTAAATCTCCAGCCTCCAATTATTCTACAAGTAGTACTCTTACAATGAGCTTTATGTTGTTTATGGATGCAAATATCGTATGTCTTAATCAAATTTGTCCCACAACTGTGACCGCATTAAAACTTAAAAGTCAAATAAGGCGGCCGTATAGGTAGTACTGCGAGTGTAGTCCTTTAAGAAAAAGTTGATGCATATGACATCTCGCATTGGAAAAATTACATTGAAGTAAATATGTCAACTCTTTCATTACTTTAATTTCTATAAACACAGCCCATACCCACAAGTCCAGAACATCAAAAAAAATTTGCACTCTTTGTCTCTTCCATCATTCCATGACCATTTGAATCAATTGCATCTAAAATTTTGTCGGAAAGTTGCTGAATCAATTGCCTTGTTTCTGGATGCATTTAAAACATATTATTTATATACTATGTTTCTGTTCTTCTTGCATTCATATAATAATATTTGCAATTAAGAATATAAATCTCACATGAATTGAATAGTAATATGTAGGGACGCATGCGAGTTGGCCAAGAATATAAAATTCAACGATTAGTATGTGGAGTTAAGTTTAAAATTCTTATTCATATATCATATTATATTAAGAGTGAGTCAGAAGAATTCGTGATAATGGTCCATATCACCTTTTTCAACCTTCCAGGCTTGAACTTGATCATCAATTTTTGGTACTTATGAGCTCCAAAAGTTGAGAAAGAAAAAAAAGCGGTCTCAAAACAATGCATCAGTTATTCTTGTAAATTTTCCTTTTAATGGCTGGCTTGAGACCACCAACTCTGTCCAGGTTCAAAAAGCTAGAGGACCCACTTCTGGAAATTTAGTAAAATTTTCTTCTGAACACGTATCCAAATCTTGATAATTTTCTAAAGCAATGGGTCCACATTTACATGCTGACAATTACCAACTAAGATAATTCATTGAATTCGAGGATTCAGGTTCCTTGGGCAGTTAGCGGCAGTAGAAAGGCCGTGCTATGCTGCAAGACAGGGAGCACATCAGAAAGGACTCGGACACAAGAAGAATATTCATAACCTGTCAATATCCAAATCTTGTAGTAGCTTGCAAGACACCGATTATGAGATCTGCAAAGAACATTGAGACCCCATGAAATGAAAGTAGCATAACCCATTCAATAATACTATATTTACAAAGATTTTCATACAAAGTGAGGTGGCAAAAAATAATTAGAAGAGTAAAACAAAAAGTCAAACTTATTAAATTCACTCTTCCATTCATTTTTTACTACATCATTTTGTATGCAGATCTTTGTAAAATTTCTTTGTAAGTGTCGTATTACTCTAAACCATTATCAGTTTTATTTCATGTGGAATTCGATAAAAAAGGCACAATTAATATATTCGTTAACCATTTTCAATAATTCGTCTGAAACATGGATACTAATAAGACTCCCTGCACTGATAACAAACAACAGCACAAACAGCCCAAGATAACAGAATATATTCACTCAAGCAAGTCTCAACCAATTATATTACTAGAGAATGTAAAAGAACAACCAAAATATTTGATAACTCAACAGATAGATCCCAGCAATTCGAGGAGCTGGGGGCCTCCCACCATGACACTATTTGATCTATGTCATTCACCAAAACAGACCCTTTATTTATACTACCTTCATGACTACCTATTCCCCTAACAACTTTGATTCCCTTCTCATACATGGTTGTAACCACTTCTCTAACAACCTACAGCAAGGCACCTCACACTCTTAACCCTTTTCTGTCCCTTATGCCCTTTGTATTGGTAAACATGCTTAATGGGAGGTCTATCAATACCCCCCCCCCCCCCCACATGGAGAGCCGCCTTGTCCTCAAGGTGGAAATGAGGGAATTGCTGCTAGATCACATCATAAGCCTCCCATGATGCTTCAAAAAGAGCTAAGTCTTTCCATTTGATAAGTACTTCCCGAGAGCCATTTAATAAAGTGCAGACAGCTAACAACGATTCTAGTTGAACAAGGAGTTCCATATCCTCAGTGAGGCAGGATGGCAGGGGTTGGATGGGTACTGAAGGGTGCAAGCTGCGTTTCAGTTGAGAGATGTGAAAGACGGGATGAATTCTGGCCGTAGGAGGCAGCTCTAACCTGTAAGCCACCTGCCCAATCTTCTCTAGTATGGGGAAAGGCCCATAAAATCGAGGGCTGAGTTTTTCATTCAGTTTTTTGGCCAAGGACTTGAAACGGTACGGTTGGAGTTTCAAATATACCTGGTCCCCTGGTTGAAAATTAATATCCCGACGACGGAGGTCAGCAGTTTCCTTCATTTGTGCTTGAGCTACAGACAAGTTATGCTTTAGTTCAGCCAATATGGAATTTCGGGCAACCATTTGCTAGTTGACTTCTTCCACCGAGGAGGGGTAATCTGAAAACTTGAGGAGAGTGGGTGGATCCCTGCCGTAGAGTGCTTTAAAGGGGGTCATTTTAATGGAGCTGTGATGTGAGGTATTGTACTAATATTCTGCCCAGGACAGCCACTTAGCCTACTGTTTTGGCTGCGAACTACAAAAACATCGCAAGTAAGTTTCTAAACATCGGTTGACCACTTCCGTTTGGCCATCGGTTTGGGGGTGATATGCCGAACTGAACTTTAGCGAAGTGCCAGCGGCCTTGAAAAGTTCCTGCCAGAAGTTGCTGATAAAAATCCTATCGCGGTCCGAAACTATAGACTTGGGAAAACCGTGGAGTTGTACAATACCAGAGACAAAAATGGCTGCAACATCCTTAGTGCTGTAGGGGTGACACAGCGGAATAAAGTGGCTGTATATAGTGAGTCGGTCCACTACAACCATTATGGTATCCTGTCCTTTTGCTTTTGGTAATCCTCCAATGAAGTCCATGTTGATATCTTCAAAAACCTGGGATCGAATGGGTAAGGGCTAAAGAAGACCTGCTGGTTTGAGAGCAGAATATTTATGTGATTAGCAAATGGAACACCGTTGGACATACTCCTGCACATCCCTCTTAATACCGTCCCAAAATACAATATTCATTAGCTTCTTATATGTCCTGAAAAAGCCTGAATGGCCCCCTTCCCGGCTGCTGTGAAACTCATCTAAAAGTTTAGGAATGAACTTCGAATTTCTGGGCAAAACCAACTTGTTTTTGTATATGAGACAGCCACGGCAAAAACCATACAAAGGATGACTGGTAGGGTCAAAAAGAAGGTCTTGGATGATTGCTTGTAGCTTTGGGTCTTGCTATGCTTCAGTCGCTAACTCATCTCATTCTGAAAGTTGTACTACCGAAATGGCTACTAATTCAGCACCCTCTCCGCGTCTCGACAATGCATCAACCACTTGGTTTGAGTTTCCCGGTTGGTAGTGGATTTCAAAGGAGAATCCTAAGAGCTTGGAAATCCATTTCTGTTGTTCAGGTGTTTTAACCCGCTGATCCGTCAGAAACTGTAGACTGTGCTGGTCAGATTTAATGATAAATTTGCGTCCACTTAAGTAATGGCTCCATTTGTGGACAGCGAACACAATGGCCATCAGCTCCCTCTCGTATGCTGATTTCTGTCGGGCTTGGTAGGGGAAGGCTTGGCTGATGAATGCAATGAGTCGTTGATTCTGGACCAGGACAGCTCCAATTCCCTAACCTGATGTGTCTGTGTGTACCTCAAACGAAAGAGTGAAATCAGGAACTGCCAGCACCGGAACTGAAGTCATTGCCCTTTTAATAGTTTCAAAGGCCTGTTGTGCTTGGTCATCCCATGCAAAAGAGTCCTTTCGCAACGACTGTGTTAACGGTTGTGCGATTAAGCCATAATTCTGCATAAAACGGTGATAGTATCCAGTCAAACCCAAAAACCCCCGTAATCCTTTGATTGTGCATGGGACGGGCCAATTCAGCATTGAATCAATCTTCTGTGGATCAGCTTCTACCCCTTTCGCTGAAATTAAATGACCCAAATACTCCAATCTCTGTCGGCCAAACATACACTTCTTGTAATTGATTACCAATTAATGTTGGGTGAGGATCTGAAAAGCATGTCTCATGTGGCTTAGGTGAGTCTTCAAATCAAGACTGTAAATAAAGATGTCGTCAAAAAACACAAGTATGAATTTCCGCAAGACTGGTTTAAATATGGTATTCATCAAAGCTTGGAAGGTGGAATGGGCATTGGTTAATCCGAAGGGCATGACCAGGTATTCATAATGCCCTTCGTGTGTCCTAAAAGCTGTTTTGGGAACATCCTCCTCTTTCATCCTAATCTGGTGGTAGGCGGATTTGAGGTCCAATTTCGTGAAAATGGCTGCCCCTGATAGTTCATCCAACAGTTCGTAAATGGAGGGAATTGGGAACTTGTCGGGTATAGTGATGTTACTTAAGGCCCTGTAGTCCACACAAAAATGCCAGTTTCCGTCTTTTTTCTTAACCAACAATACAGGACTAGCAAAGGGACTAGTGCTGAGTTGTATTATCCCTGCCACCAGCATCTCAGCCACCAACTTTTCTATTTCATTTTTTTGGGAGTAGGAGTATTTGTATGGGCGAATGTTAGGAGGTTTGGCATTGGCTGCTAAGACTATGGCATGATCAATGGGTCTCTTGGGTGGGAGTGGAGTAGGCTGTTCAAACAGATGGCTAAACTAATTGACAACTGCTGCTACTGCCAGGTCCATAGGTTCCTCTGCTTCTTCTTCCTTGACCCCAATGGAACAAAACTCAATCACATATCCCGCATCCTCCTGCTGTAGGGATTTCATCATTGCTTTTAAGGACACAACCGTCTTGACTAATAATGGATCCCCTTGTAAAACCACCCTATTTCCTTCACTAATAAAGGCCATTGTCAGATTCCTCCAGTTTGCACACACATCACCCAACGTACTGAGCTAGGAAACCCTTAGTACGACATCTGCGCCGCCCCCCCCCCCCCCCCCTCCCCCCCCCCCCCAACTCACATGAAAATATTGTGGCAACTTCATCCCCGTACCTCAATTTTACTCCCCTACAAATTTCCTCCCCTCTGACAGTAAACCCATTTCCTACCATCACTCCAAACGATTTTCCCTTTTCCACTGCTAAACCTAATTTTCGCATCAAGTCATGCGAAATGAAATTGTGGGAAGCCCCACTGTCCACTAGCATAATCACCTCTGTACTTCCAATCACTCCTTTCAACTTTAAGGTTTTATCGGTGGTTACCCCAACGATTGAGTGCATAGATAGGGCCACGAGATTACCTTCTTCGTCGTTTTCTGAGATAGGTTCAAACGTGCTTTTGTCGTTTTCGATCACTTCGTCGTCGATGACCAACAGGATCTGGATTGATTTGCTCCGACAGCGATGGTTGGATTCGTATTTCTCATCACAGCGGAAACAAAGGCCCTCTTCTCGTTTTTGCTGCAGCTCAGCGTCGGACATTCGCCAGAAAGTATCCCCGCGAAAGTTCTGCGTCGTCACGTCGCTAAATCGATTTCTGTCGTGAAATCGATTTAGGGAAAATGGGTGAACTGAATCTGGATTTCGTGTTGGGTTAGTCCAATTTGGGCGAATGGGTTCTTGGCTTGGGTTTGGGCTTGGGCTTGGGGTGACCCTAGTGTAAGAGTCCAGCTTGTGTCCTTGGGCTTTAACAAACCTGGGTCTATTTTTGTCTAAGACCCAATTTCTTTCCTCCACACGATGGGCCTGGTCTATCAATTCAAATAGGGACATGGGTTGGGTTAGACGAATTTTAGCCCTGATTTCTTCTTTTAACCCATTTGAAAATACCCCCATCAGTATATCTTCCCCTACCTCATGCAAAGGAGCTGCGTGAGCTTCAAAATTTTCCCTGTACTCTGTCACTGTACCAGTCTGCTTCAAAGCTACTAGGGCCTCGTAAGCTGATCCTTTAAATGATGGTCTAAATCTCTCTACCATTGCCGTCTTAAATTCTGTCCACGAACCAATAGGTGCTCTGGACTCTACCCACTGATACCAATTCAGGGCACGACCTTCCATACACACTACGGCTACTGCCACTTTTTCTCCTTCCTCATATTGATTCATCGAAAAATACCGGTCAGCTCTGAATGTCCATCCATACGGATCTTCCCCATTGAATATGGGTAGTTCTAATTTTTTAACTTTCAAGTTCTCTCCCCCCTTGTTCTTATCACTTCCCCTACTAGTTGCAGGATCAGAGTTAGATGCCTCCCCTTTATCGTTATTCAGATTTGCATCCCTCTCTTCCCTTCGTCTCATCCACTCGCGCAACTCTGATAAGTACCCCTTAATACTCCCTAGCTCTTCCCTTACAGTTCTCATTTCTTTCTCAACGTTCCCCATCCCTTTTTCCAAACCTTCAACTCTGTTCTCCATCTTCGATTTAACCATTATCCGAACGAAGCTCTGATACCACTTGATAAGACTCCCTACACTGATAACAAACAACAGCACAAACAGCCCAAGATAACAGAATATATTCACTCAAGCAAGTCTGAACCAATTATATTACTAGAGAATGTAAAAGAACAACCAAAATATTTGATAACTCAACAGATAGATCCCAGTAATTCGAGGAGCTAGGGGCCTCCCACCATGACACTATTTGATCTGTGTCATTCACCAAAACAGACCCTTTATTTATACTACCTTCATGACTACCTATTCCCCTAACAACTTCGATTCCCTTCTCATACGTGGCTGTAACCACTTCTCTAACAACCTACAGCAAGTCACCTCACACTCTTAACCCCTTTCTGTCCCTTACGCCCTTTGTATTGGTAAACATGCTTAATGGGAGGTCTATCAGATACTAATTTGGCCAACTATATGAATCAATATGTAAGTCATAACTGTAATGACAGACATGGTAAGATTCTGGTATTGTCTCACCACATCACATGGAATTGGAAACATGATACTCCATGTTCATCGGAAAGATATTTTTAAACAAATATATGCAACTCCTAAAAGGAGCAAATGCATTCTCTGTTACTCTTACACGGTCGTTGTTCATATGCGTATAATAATTCAACGAAATTGCTGTAGAATGCAATGACAAGAAAGAATGCCATCAGCACGGGAAAATACAAAAGGAATAAGATTGTTTTTATGACTTGCAATTTCCATTACTATTTCACAACATACAAAATGTAGCTAACATTTAACAATTAGTAATGAAGATGACTCTTGAAAATTTGGACAATTGCCTGCTTTCTCCCAAGTCGCTCCTGGCCCACAAAACTTTCATTCACTAAATGACCTGGTATATATAACACTGACACATCCAACTTACAAAGACTATCAGTCGCAAACTTAAGCAATTCATCATAAGCAGGATAGCATGCAGTTATGAGCAAAAGGCCTTCACTGTCTCATCTCTGAAATTCAAAACTCCCACATGCAACTAATGAATCAGGAGGCAACTGCAGATCCCATAGAATAATGAACCCCACCCAAGAAATGAGGAGGAGAGCTTCCATGTTAAGACATTTGTACCCCTAAGCTTCAACTGCAGTTACTGCTTCCTCATCAGTACTATCAGGTGTAACTATATCTTCAGTAGCCCCAGCCTCTGGTTCCTTGTCAGAAATTTGAAGCTTCTCTTTGAGCTTTGTCACAAGTTCTTCCCTCACACTATCATTCTGAGACAGAAACCTTTTAAAGGCATCCTTACCATGAAAACTCTGACCATTAAGACCAAAGAATGAACCAGACTTGGTTATGAATTTATGTTTTAGAGCCAAGTCAATGATCTCTGCTTCTCGGCATATCCCCTTGCCAAACTCCAGCTCAAACTGGGCAGTTTTAAATGGAGGGGCAAGTTTGTTCTTAATAATCTTTACCTGTACTTGACTTCCAACAGTCTGCAAAATGCAAAAATATGAAACAGATGCTTTACACCATGAACATACACTATAAAATGATCTACCTTAACAAGAAATATAATAATAAACGAAACTATAGACACAAACTATCAATATAACCTAATGTAACATGATGTAATTAGCAAAGTGAAAACAAAACGAAATCAAACAAATTAAAAAAATATTATGTGACAATCTTGTAAAAGAACCCATCAATTTGTATGTGTAGCATTTACTTCTTATAAATGTGTCAAATCACCAGCCCTTCATTTGTAGCTGTGCTATATTTGACAAAGCATCTCTAGAAAAATATAAATATAGATTGATCTGATCACAAGATACTGGACCAATTAATTACTAGTCACATTGAAGAGCAGAGAAATCCTTCAATGAGGACAACATTCTAAATGCGAATACTCTCATGCCTGACAAACATGCAGGGGTGGCAAAAGTGAGGTCTCAATCCAAATGCCCACAGAAATTTGTTACAATAAACCATACTTTTGTGGATACGCTTGTACATCCTTGTGAATATTTTGGGTTTGGTATAGTTTTTTAAATCTTGGGCCTGTCCAAGATTTCGATGGCAGGGGACCTCTTTCCCCTAAAATGTATTATTTGATAGAGGTCCCCTAAAATGTATTATTTGATTCTTTTATACAATTACCACATTTACCCAAAAAATAATAATAATAAACCATACTTTTGGTGTTATCCAGCAACTGGAAGTGCCAGTGCATATAATTCTTTCTGCCCTTGCAGGATCGGGGAAGATTTACTTCTGGCTTATATGCAAATGAGTTTCTCAACAGAATTTTGACCACAAAAGGGACTAATATGTTGATTTAGTATCTTCATATCTTTCAGCAAAATGAAAGCAGGTGAACCATTACACCAAAAACAGATATTATAGCGTCACAAAACATAAGTTTTTTGACATCTTCAGGTTTTAGATTAAAAACATAAAAATTATCACAAAAACCTTTTTGTCAATGTCCAAACTCATGGATGTATAGGAAAGAGAGAGAGAAGAAGGGGAGGGGGGGAATGAAGGTTTTTACCTCTTCACCCTTCTTGACAAGCCCTATTCTCTTAATATTTAAGCGAACTGAAGCATAAAACTTCAAGGCATTACCACCACATGTAACTTCAGTGGGCCCACCAAAGCCTCCAAAAGTAGAGAGCTTTGCCCTCACCTGGCATTGATGTCATCAGAAAGTCAAATCATTTATTGCTTTAATAAGAGAAACAAACTTTAGATTTCAGCAGTATTAAAGCACATTTCAGTGACCCTAAAAAAAACACTCCAAAGTGGCTACACATACATGATAATGCTCATAAATAAGACAACTTTGCTGACAAGGTAACAAGAAAGCTAAGAAAACATGGCTCAAATTGTTTCTAACGAGAGGAAGGTAGAAACAAGAAACATATTGCTATCTCAAGGATGGGCCCCAAGGCCTTAGGTTCATGCTTCCAATGCTGTCAAGCCAAGTTCCAAAATTGAGCCATATCAGACAGCCATCAGGCTTTGTTCACCCACCACTTGAAGTCTCTATGTAGAAATTCAGAATGAAAAAAAGAAAGAAAGCATGAAAGAAATCCAAAATACTTGGTATAAACTTGAAAACCAGAAATTGTAATAATAGACCTTCACTAACTCGACAAGATTCAAGAAATTCGGTATTAACTAAGTAGGAAAGTAGAGCTTTAAAATTTTAGGACAACAAACATGTAATTTAGAAAGAGATGAATATAGATAACCTCAAAACTCTTCAATTTTAATGAAGATTAAAATTTGAAACCTGATTTATAAAAATTAATATGGTCTGTGATAATGATAAAGAATGGCTCAATTTCCGAAGTGCCTGACTCATCAATCTAGCTTGCATTGCCATGTGAGCATCACCCATCTCACCATCAAGTTCACCTTTAGGCACTAAAGCTGCCACCTGTCATCAAAGATACAGGATCAAAACCAGAGCAGAACAGCAAAAAGTAAATAAGAACTTGCTTCCAAACAAATAATCAAAAGTTGGATGATTTAGATTATCTCATCTAAAGAACATTTAACTTAAGAAGGACATCCAACATTTATGTCACCTTGCAGTGGAAGAACCAATATTTCTATCAAAACAAAAAAAATCAAGAGACGATATAAGCATTGCCCAAGAAGCAGTCTAAGTGAAAATGCACAAACAAAAGAAAAGCCAATCTCATTAAGGCATATAAAACATATTCCAGCACCTACCATCAACAATAATTAACCTAATCCAGATTATTCACAAGAGAAAAAAAAAAAAAAAAAAAATGCACCAATATAACATCTTGCTTACACTGTCAACAACAACTACATCAACAGAACCACTTCGGATCAGGGTATCCACAAGACTCAGAGCTTGTTCACCACAATCAGGTTGTGAAAGAAGCAAATTCTGTGTGTTTACTCCAATAGCCTCAGCTAATGATGAATCAAGAGCATGCTCAGCATCAATAAAAACACAATAACCTGCATTGAAATGGCAAGAGAAAAATTTATCAGCATCTTGGGGAAGTCAAAGCCAAAAGTATATAAAACAGAAACATTCTAATATCCATTTTTTTCAAGTCCCAAATCCCTGAATGGTTATTCCATGAACCCCCATATTGTTAAATTTATAAGAACACAAACCAGAATCTAAAAATGTAATAAGACGCTTAAAAATCCATCCTAACAAGGATTGGATATGTTCTTTACAGAATAAATCACTTTTTATATTAAAATGTAACAGTCAATACAGAAAGCAAGCCTTCCATGCAACATGAAAACTTAATCAGCACAAATTCTCATCCAATTGCTAATCCTATTTGACAACATATATAATAGGAAGTATATAATCAACGAGATACTTGAGCTATTATAAATACTGATGAAATCAACAAGAAGTAATTCAAATTTAAGCAACCTCCTTGTTTTTGTGCCTCAGCAATTACATGTAGTGCAAGAGTTGTTTTTCCAGAAGCCTCTGGACCATAAATCTCCACAACACGTCCCTTCAAATATAATTATCAAGAAAGAAATGTCATAAGCAGCCAATACATATTGCTAAGTAATATCTGGGTTGTCATTATAACCAACATGCATTGCAAAGTGAATATGAAATGAACTCTGTCTCACACTCTCAATTTTAACAGGAAGTCACGGAGTCAAGCATTTGACAAAATGTATAAACAAAACCTACCAAATCCATACGCTAAAAGATAGCAATACTTTCAAATTTCTCCTTTTTGTTTTTTTTAAGTAACTCATTTTCAGAAAAATGATGCACAAGGCATTGACTAGCTGCTAATAAGTGCAAAACAGAATGAGGCAGGAAGATGGTGTAAGAAGCAAAACTAGCAAACAGGTTATGTATTCTTTAACCGACATTGAGATTTTATTAATTACAAAATTATTAAGAATATCGTCCCATATTTATTAACCTTCAGGAGCTGAGACCTATGCATTTGCATAAACTGAGCAGTTATTTCATAAAGCAAAATTTTGTGAGATACCTTTGGGAGCCCGCCAGTTCCCAGTGCTACATCCAATGCAAAAGAACCCGTGGACACCACTGGAACATGTCTAGAAGATACAGACCGACCAAGCCACATAATTGATCCTTTCCCAAATGAACTAGTAATCTGATCCAAAGCTTGCTGTAAGGCAAGCTCTTTCTTCGACATATTCTCTTCGCTGGAGTCACTTCCATCTGACTTGGATTTCTTCTTACCTTCAAATGGATAGAACGTTTATTGTCATCACCTTAAACTTAATGCAAACAGAAAAAACAGCCGCCACATTATTTTTTCAACCAATGATCAAGCTCCAGCATCATACACCACAAAAATACTCTGACACTACTACCAGGATACAANCAAAAAAAATCAAGAGACGATATAAGCATTGCCCAAGAAGCAGTCTAAGTGAAAATGCACAAACAAAAGAAAAGCCAATCTCATTAAGGCATATAAAACATATTCCAGCACCTACCATCAACAATAATTAACCTAATCCAGATTATTCACAAGAGAAAAAAAAAAAAAAAAAAAAATGCACCAATATAACATCTTGCTTACACTGTCAACAACAACTACATCAACAGAACCACTTCGGATCAGGGTATCCACAAGACTCAGAGCTTGTTCACCACAATCAGGTTGTGAAAGAAGCAAATTCTGTGTGTTTACTCCAATAGCCTCAGCTAATGATGAATCAAGAGCATGCTCAGCATCAATAAAAACACAATAACCTGCATTGAAATGGCAAGAGAAAAATTTATCAGCATCTTGGGGAAGTCAAAGCCAAAAGTATATAAAACAGAAACATTCTAATATCCATTTCTTTCAAGTCCCAAATCCCTGAATGGTTATTCCATGAACCCCCATATTGTTAAATTTATAAGAACACAAACCAGAATCTAAAAATGTAATAAGACGCTTAAAAATCCATCCTAACAAGGATTGGATATGTTCTTTACAGAATAAATCACTTTTTATAATAAAATGTAACAGTCAATACAGAAAGCAAGCCTTCCATGCAACATGAAAACTTAATCAGCACAAATTCTCATCCAATTGCTAATCCTATTTTGACAACATATATAATAGGAAGTATATAATCAACGAGATACTTGAGCTATTATAAATACTGATGAAATCAACAAGAAGTAATTCAAATTTAAGCAACCTCCTTGTTTTTGTGCCTCAGCAATTACATGTAGTGCAAGAGTTGTTTTTCCAGAAGCCTCTGGACCATAAATCTCCACAACACGTCCCTTCAAAGATAATTATCAAGAAAGAAATGTCATAAGCAGCCAATACATATTGCTAAGTAATATCTGGGTTGTCATTATAAGCAACATACATTGCAAAGTGAATATGAAATGAACTCTGTCTCACACTCTCAATTTTAACAGGAAGTCACGGAGTCAAGCATTTGACAAAATGTATAAACAAAACCTACCAAATCCATACGCTAAAAGATAGCAATACTTTCAAATTTCTCCTTTTTGTTTTTTTTAAGTAACTCATTTTCAGAAAAATGATGCACAAGGCATTGACTAGCTGCTAATAAGTGCAAAACAGAATGAGGCAGGAAGATGGTGTAAGAAGCAAAACTAGCAAACAGGTTATGTATTCTTTAACCGACATTGAGATTTTATTAATTACAAAATTATTAAGAATATCGTCCCATATTTATTAACCTTCAGGAGCTGAGACCTATGCATTTGCATAAACTGGGCAGTTATTTCATAAAGCAAAATTTTGTGACATACCTTTGGGAGCCCGCCAGTTCCTAGTGCTAAATCCAATGCAAAAGAACCCGTGGACACCACTGGAACATGTCTAGAAGATACAGACCGACCAAGCCACATAATTGATCCTTTCCCAAATGAACTAGTAATCTGATCCAAAGCTTGCTGTAAGGCAAGCTCTTTCTTCGACAGATTCTCTTCACTGGAGTCACTTCCATCTGACTTGGATTTCTTCTTACCTTCAAATGGATAGAACGTTTATTATCATCACCTTAAACTTAATGCAAACAGAAAAAACAGCCGCCACATTATTTTTAACCAATGATCAAGCTCCAGCATCATACACCACAAAAATACTCTGACACTACTACCAGGATACAACAAACCATATGTGGAAAAATTAAAAATATGAAGTAAATAAAACACTATATGCAAGTAAAGACTTGAAGGCACTATTACCATAAATAAAAATTCCACAACTTCTAAGATAGAGTGTAGTCTATTATTGCAAACATTAAAATACTGATGAAATTTACCAACCCAAACCGTCTCAACTCCATCACTATTTTTTTTATTTCCATGTGCACTGACCATAGCATAGTTGTCATATAACACATTTAGTTTCTTCAATTAGCATCTCCAATTTTAAGTGTATTAAAACTATGCATACAGCCTAAGTTTATCTTGCAAATAACATGTTAACAGAAAAACCTAGATTATGATCTTGTAAATATGAGAAAATGAAAAGCGAGCAACAGAGGAATTCGCACCTTTAGAGGAATAGTTACAAAACTGAGAAGAAACTCCCAACATTCCTCCCTTAAGTCCCTGCAAATCCTAATAAATAAATAAGAAATAGTGAAAAGTTATAATATGTTTTCTCATAGGTAAAAAAGACTCATCATTGACATGTATTAAAGTCAAAAGCAGCAGTTCTTGCTTTCTCGCGTCACAAACAATTTCTTTTGTTAAACCATAGCAGAGACCAAAGAAAACATAAACACACAAAATAGAAAAGGGTTTTAAAAGAAAGAAAAAAAAAAAAAAAATGTTACCTGCGGTGCTAAGAGAGCACGTTTAAGCAAAGAAGCGTTTCGAATAAGCCTAGCCATAGAAAGGTGTGGAAGTTGAAACCCAGTAACAAGAACCAACCAATAAAACGCTTATTGAGAAAGTGAAAAGAGCAAGGAAGGACAAGAAATGAAAAATTAAGTAAAGAAGAGATGTTAGTCCATCTAGACAATAAAAACTATACAAATAAGAAAGGAGAGGGAGTTATTTTAGGGTTTTGGCGTTTGGGGTTTAGTTTCCCTCCTTTTTGAACTATACTTACTACAGAAAGAGAAAAACACGGGCTGTGGCTGTCCGCCCAAATTTACACCAGTGCCGATGTAAAGGGCCCCAGTTGTGGACTTGTAAAGTGNTTTACCAACCCAAACCGTCTCAACTCCATCACTATTTTTTTTATTTCCATGTGCACTGACCATAGCATAGTTGTCATATAACACATTTAGTTTCTTCAATTAGCATCTCCAATTTTAAGTGTATTAAAACTATGCATACAGCCTAAGTTTATCTTGCAAATAACATGTTAACAGAAAAACCTAGATTATGATCTTGTAAATATGAGAAAATGAAAAGCGAGCAACAGAGGAATTCGCACCTTTAGAGGAATAGTTACAAAACTGAGAAGAAACTCCCAACATTCCTCCCTTAAGTCCCTGCAAATCCTAATAAATAAATAAGAAATAGTGAAAAGTTATAATATGTTTTCTCATAGGTAAAAAAGACTCATCATTGACATGTATTAAAGTCAAAAGCAGCAGTTCTTGCTTTCTCGCGTCACAAACAATTTCTTTTGTTAAACCATAGCAGAGACCAAAGAAAACATAAACACACAAAATAGAAAAGGGTTTTAAAAGAAAGAAAAAAAAAAAAAAAAATGTTACCTGCGGTGCTAAGAGAGCACGTTTAAGCAAAGAAGCGTTTCGAAGAAGCCTAGCCATAGAAAGGTGTGGAGGTTGAAACCCAGAAACAAGAACCAACCAATAAAACGCTTATTGAGAAAGTGAAAAGAGCAAGGAAGGACAAGATATGAAAAATTAAGTAAAGAAGAGATGTTAGTCCATCTATACAATAAAAACTATACAAATAAGAAAGGAGAGGGAGTTATTTTAGGGTTTTGGCGTTTGGGGTTTAGTTTCCCTCCTTTTTGAACTATACTTACTACAGAAAGAGAAAAACACGGGCTGTGGCTGTCCGCCCAAATTTACACCAGTGCCGATGTAAAGGGCCCCAGTTGTGGACTTGTAAAGTGCAGGTTATGGTAAATAAAATAAAAATGTTATAATAATAAGTTTTAATGTTTTAATTGTTTGTGGCACATTCGATTATAAGTTTAAATGAGTTATTTTCTTCAATGCATCTAAAATACTATTTTGCATAACTGATTATGTACAAGTATGATGATGCATGATTTTGACATCAACTATTCACATTTAAAAAATGGTAAATGGATTTAGAAGTCACATGCGATATGAGAATATTTAATTAAATAAAGAGTGCAAGGCAATGTTTAAAGTAATTCAGATGCTCAAAAGCGAATCATATGTTCACTGATGTTATATTAATGAAAGTAAGATCAGGTTGCATTCAACGAGCTTAGTTACAGCTTAAAGAATACAAGAGAGAGAGAGAGAGAGAGAGAGAGAGGGTAAGCTATTCAAGAGTGAAATTAGCTAATCCCGCAAATGAAAGGGGTGGCCTCTATTTATAATGGGATAAACCAAGGTAATGATTACTAAATCTGCAAGTGGGTAGGTACTGTACAAATCCTTCTCTACGTCCCATTGCTTACCTGCCCAAGTAATTTCCTCGACTTTCACAAGGTTGGACACGTGAACAATTTCCAACCATTCGCTAACCTGGCCCTTACCCACTGCACTGACAGTGGCATGCCACTTGCGTCATTATGCGACGTGGCCGCGTCTAAACTGTCGTAGAACCTTCCCAAGTTTTGACCACCCCACATTGACAAGACTCCGCGTCAGCCCTACTTTTTCAGGCATAACAGAAATCCCCTAGTTTTTAAGGTTTGAGAATCGAACCTTGAGAACTTCACAATTATGCCTTAATTTGATATGTCCCGAATGACGCCTAGTCGATCCGACCGGGCTACAAGGAGGTCGCAATGCACTTTCCTATGAGCGACCTGATATGGTCTCCTTCCGCAAGGTCGACGACCTAGATTAGACCCTATTTAGTGCCGTATCGATGCGCCTCTTATCTTAACCGAGGTCCACGACCTGGTTATACTTAGCATATTTCTACTGAAGGCAAAGAATCACATCGCTCCGCAACTGACATACGACGAAGAGTGTTCTTTTCCAACGACCTCTTCAGATGTTATCCGTTGTGCTTTGCAACTAATCCACTAATGAAGTACCCTTTATTCTGACAAACGTGTCATGTGGGCAATAAGTGCCAACCATGCGCATTAAATGTAAGTTATGCTAAAACGACATTTTTTATCAGGGCATTAAATACAGATGAGAGCGCATTTAATGTGGAGGAGGAAAACGAGCCGTCGCTCGATTATTTCAATGGAGAGAAGCGACGATTGAATTTCTCAAAGCGTGGCGGTTACTCCTTCTCGCCGATTGACAACACATGGTCGCGATCAACGGCGAGATATGATTTCCACCCAAACGTCACTTGGCTTTGGGAAAACCAATTGACACTTTCTCCATTATAAAATCTCAGGCTTGCCTTAAGCAGTGTCACAACACTCACTCTTTCAGAAAAAGCAAGAAGCTTTTGCGAGACCAGATTTTCCATCATTCGAGTTGGTGCACATTTGACGTTCATAGCAAGAAATTCAATCCCCACACCCAAGAGGTAAGGAAGATCCTTCCATTACTTTCCTTTTTCTGTTTTGTAGACAACCATGCGATAACAGTGGGAGTTTGTGGGCCGTCGAACGGAGAATGGGCTTTTTTCTATGGTTTAAGGAAGACACAATGTGTTTTTCTGTTCTTCCACGTCATCATATGAAACTTTGTACGAAGACTAAGTAATCCCTGCATGTCACTCTTTTTCAGACCGTAGAAGAGATGGACCCTTTAGCGACCAGGACAGACGAGGGGACAAGCTCGCCGGTGCAGGATGCCTTAGCGGGTCCTTTGCAAGAAATTCTGTCGGTGGCCACAGGAGAGGAAATCCAAAAAGCAATTGACCAATACGCACTTAGCGTAGACGTCTACCAGTACAGGACGCATACTCGGAATCTGCCAGAGGGAATGGTTGCGATCTCCGAGAATATCTTTAAATGCGGAGCACTGATTCCCTTCCATCCCTTTATAAGTTCGATCCTCGATCACTTCGGGGTCGCACTTTTACAGTTGACGTCCAACGCGTATATGATAGCCGTGGCTATGTATATCTCTAGTTAGTAAATTCGCATATTATTCACGAATTATACACCCAATTGTATAATTCGCATATTATTCGCGAACTGTCGTATTTTATCAGCCTAGCCGTATTATTTGCGAATTATTCCCGTATTTTTATCGTATCCGAATTTTTGCCAAAATTTTACAAACGTATTTTTCACTATTTACCGTATCATACCCGTAAAATTCCCGTACCATTTTTTTGTTGTACCCGTATATTTGAAATGCTATATAGATTTTAACCAAATGGCCCATGAAAAATGCTAAAACTATGATTGATATTGCCGTATTTTTCAAAACGTATTATTGACAATGTGCCGTATTAAACCCATATATACCCTTACCATATTTTTTCCATATCCGAATTTTATGACCGAATTTTTACAAACGTATTTTTCACCATTTATCGTATCATATCCGTAAAATTCCCATACCCTTTTTTTGCCATACCCATATTTACTAACTAGGTGTATATGCGTGTGGAAAGAACGGTCTCGGCAAGTTGACTGCGCTAGAGCTCACCTGCTCGTATTATCTAAAGAAGAGCAAGGACAAGGACTCTTATTACCTCTCGAAGCGATCTAGGATCGAGGGAGGCATATTCAATTACCCCAACAATGTCGGGGCATATGAGAAGAAATTTTTATTTTTTAATTACGATGACATTTGCCAATTTAGGGAGCCCAGTAGGTCTTCCCTTCTTTTGCTTGGTGAATTTTTCTTTTCTTTAAATCTTTACTAACGAACTCTTCCGTTTCAGCGCAATAAACAAGACGACCAGGTTGGCGGTTCTCATTGACTTTAACAGAATAACAGCTTTTGGACTTCTACCCGATCAGAGTTGCAACTCAAAACTGCTCGTGACGACCTCTAACTTGAGGAAATATAACTTTTTCAATTCCGAAGTGACCTTGGAATCCTTACCGAGTAAGTGTCCGTAGCCTTGGCCAGTCTTATTTTTTGCATGCAGCGAATTGTTTTGCTAACGATATTCGCATGCAGTGACCATGTCACCCAAAGTGCCCAGGTCGCTGAGAGCCAAGGGGTTTGTCTTTCCTCAGATCGGTGCCACGGGACCAGCCGTGCCAGGCCCCAACGATACCTTTGTTGGAGGAACGCCAACGGGAGCACCAACTCCCATCCAACAACCAGTAGACGCTCCTCAATCTGCGGTTGCTCGTCCTAAGCATAAGACTGTGGCCTATAAATCCAAGAAAAGGAAGCAACTGCAGGTCAAGGAATCAAAGTCCGAGCCGGAGGGCTTGGGTGTTCAGCTTGGGAGGTCGCAGCCTTACCAGGCCCCCCAGGCTCTCGACCGGCATTACACTTGCCTCTGAGGGTTTGGGCAGGGGACAAGGGGAGACTACGGCTCCTGGGAGGAGACGGTAGGCGAGACGCTACCTGCTGCGGGAGCTAGCACACCTATGTTAGACTTTATAGGGCAATTCCCAGAGCACTTGCAGCCGGTGATGTTCACCGTCCTAGAGTGTCAGCTCACCGAGGCCTTTGAACAGTTAATGGCCTCCAATCCTATGGACCTGATGACCATTGCATTCCAACTACAAAGCCAGGTAAGAGGGTTAATCCTTGTCGAGGACTTTCTTATACTTGTTCTTTTAATGAAATGGAACTTACCCCCTTGTTCTCTTTGCTATGCAGTCTCTGCTCGCTATACACTTGGCCCAGCAGAAGACTCAACAGGGAGCCGCTGAGGGGCTCGTTAAGCTGAAAGAAGAGAACGCGCAGCTGAAACGGGACTTAGAGGCTGCGTAGACGAAATTGAACCTGTCCACCGTTTAGGCAAACCAATACTTGTCGGAGAGGAATGTTATGTTTTGGATGGTGGACTTCCAGAAGGCCGAGCTGGAGAAGAGGGGAAAGGAGATCAAAGAGCTC